AGACTTGTGTAAAAAGTAGTTTTTGAGATAATTAATGGAATCAAGCGTTACTTTGCGGAAATCCATTATATTAAAGATCTTAATAATGAATTTGCTTATATTCGCGTAATAAAATAAAACGATGCGACTCCCCTAGTCTGAAGAGGGACACCTTCCATCCTCCCTCAATTGCGTGCACTATCCGTGTCACCACTGGTCCCAGAACCACCACTCCCAATACCACCATACCAGGAAAGACACATCACCATTGATAATACGACACGTGTTTCGCCTCTACATGAGGCATCCTCGGGTAGAGTAGACTATACAGTGGCTGACTACTAAGTGAGCGGCGAGCCAAAACAGCTGCTATTTATAAAACTCACTGACGCAACTGCTCCCCACTTAAGTAACGAGCGACTACGTCATGCGACCAATCACCACCAGACGTACGCAGCCGTTTGCTGTAAAATTAAAAACAGACCGCTTGTGAAAATTGTTGTTATTCTAGTTTATCACAACGTTTGTACGATTAATACATTTTAAGAAATACACAACAAAGTTGACATTGCTATATGTGTTATTCCGCCTATGAATCACAAAAAAATCAGCAGTAGTTATGAAAATACATCTATTGTATTATATTTGCATAGCGCCATCTATCGATGATATTGGTTAACTGTTGTATTTTTTTCTAACGAAAATAGAATTAGGTTAATATTTGTGATTATTTGTAATTTTTTTTAATGTGTTTAAGGTATACATAAATAATATCAATAAAGAACATCATTTTACAAAGGTCAATTAAGGTTTTTGAGATTAGACTAAAATGCACTTGACGACTCATTGTCACCATTAAACAAATTGGTACCTATACTTCGTACCCACACTTAGAATATTAATCATAAATTTTGATATATTGAACCGATTTTAATAAAACAAAGACTAAATGTAACTCGATAATGTTTTTTATGATTTTCTTAACGGTTCTTTTGAAAAATATTGGTACTTTAGACGTGATACGTTTATACACAAACAGACAGACAATTCTAAAAATAATAGAAATGTATTTAATTACTTATTTTCGACTGAAAATCATTTTTGTCACAAAAATATAAAATGTACATACGTCCGCAGTTTTCAATTTTATTATATAATAGCCATTGGTTTAATACTTCTGGTTCCAATTACTTGAATTGAATAATGAAGAATAGAGGCAGTGATACAATATATAACCATGATACAAACTTATCTATTGCAAAACACCATGATCTTTTCTACTGCATTATGTGTTCTTTTCTGTTCGTCGTTTCTTTTGGCGGGTAAATATCCATAATCTTATTTTTGATAGTATTTCTTTGTATATATGCATTTGAATACTATTGTAATACAAAATTTTATTAAACTCTATTCTAAAAAGTAGTAAGCCTATTTCCAGATCAAAATGAAAAACTACAAACAAAAGTTATCGGCGGACATGAGGCTGTTCCTTACAGCCATCCTTACATTGTATCTCTGCAGAAAAGGTTTTTGTGGTTTCGATTTCATATTTGTGGTGGTTCAATAATAAGCAAAAATTGGGTAAATTACAAACATATTTTTTTAAACAATAAAATAACATAACATAAACACTTACGCCTGTTAACTGGAACCTAACACTCCTCTGGCTTCAATCACATAAATGTACGTATACATGTTCGTCAGTTAAGCTAAACTCTTAACTTAACTCTCTCTTAACTTGGCCAATTTTCTATATACTATAGTCAATTTGGACAACAAACTTCATCAAAAATAAAACAAATCAAGGTTATGTAAAGTCCGCCCATACGCACTGGAGCAAAGAGCACTGGAAAACGAATTACTCTAGAGAAACTCTCTCAGAAGGATGTATTTAAAAAAAATACAATTCTTTTTTAAATGCAATATAAGTATGCACATCAAACAATTTACATAAACACTACTTCACTATACTAAGGATTTATGGGTTATCTATTATTTGTTTCAAGTTAAGAAAATTTATTAAGATATAACTTTATTTTTTAGATATTAACAGCGGCTCATTGCGTGTCGGATTCGTTTCTCACAAGGTGGTTACCATTAGATGCCATTGCAGGAATTCATAATAATTTTTACTTTGGATCCAATGCTCAAATAAGGACTATATTTAGACAATACCCGCACCCAAAATATGATGGGTAAACTTCAGTATTTTGCATAAATATAACAATTTCTTTATAAAATTCTATTAATAAGTAACATTATAATTACTTTTAGAGGAATCGGTTCCCATGATATCGCCATGCTTTTCACGTTATCTCCATTTAAGTTTACCAAAGAAATTAAGCCAATCAATCTTCCACACGATTTAAAAATTCAACCCCAAGTACTAAGTTTATCGGGATGGGGTGTACTGGGTACAAGCATTCTTATGTTAGATTTGCCTGAAAAACTACAAGAGGTCGAAGTGACATATCTACCTTATGACGGTAAAAATACAACTTCTCTATTTAAATGGAAATTAATATTCACCCTTACAGTTATCTGTGTAATATACGTACATTGACATTTTCAGAGTGTCATAAAGCAATAGAGGAAATAAAAGACATTGATGAAAACAATCCTCTAGATAAGGAAGCTCATATTTGTACCGGACCTATAACTGGTGGCGTGTCAGCTTGCAGCGGTGACTCTGGAGGACCTTTAGTTTTACATTTAAGAAAAACTAATACAAGGAACTTAACTAATGATGATAACAGTGATGATTATAATAGGAGTGTTGTGGATAGTGATGATGACAATGTAAGCTCAGTGATCATAGGAGTTGTTTCATGGGGTATGTCACCATGTGGTGAAAAAGGAGCACCAACCGTTTATACAAATGTTTCCACATATCTAAATTTTATAAATGAGTACATGAGTAAGTAGTTTACATTCCGGAAGTGACATAATGAAATATGTTAAGAAAACTATAATGGTCAATTAAAAGCAGTTTTTTCATAATAATCGCTCTAATCACTGAGATCTGATTTTACAAAAATATAACATTTTATATTTTTTAATAATAAATATTTACACCTATAGTTTAAGTCCATCCTACCGTTTACAAAATTATTTAAAACATTATTTTATTAACCAATTTCTAAAATAAGGAGGTTTTTGCACGATGTCTCCATCGATTGTGAACCGACTTTAAAGATTATTTTTATTAAGTAGGTAACTTTAAATTTTAAAATTATAGGGAAGAAGTTTTATATGTAACTTTTTACACATTCTAGTTGTTGCTTGTTATTGATATTCCTGAATCTACTCCCAAAGGAATAAAAATTTGATCTTTTTGTATTTTTTATTTTAATTGATCTACAAAAATAAATGAAATTGAAGCGTCTGTTTGTAATATTAAAATAACAGCTTTGCATATGAAAGTACAGATGCTACTAATAACAAAAAAACAATTTTTATAGTTTTGTCGTTCAAAATAAATAAAATTTGAATTAATTTTTCAAATTGAAAACAACTTACCTTTAAAATAACATATGAAATCCTTAATCGACGAATCTCTGACGACTGATTTATCATAAAACGATAAAATACCACCTAAAGATAGCAAGCCATAACCATACTGTCGGGCTGGTGATGAGAAATAGCATATCAAAGGGTAATATGTAATAAATTAGTCATACTTAGTATTTACCGTGGTAGAGCCATGCTGCAACTATATTACTGGTATAGTTGTAGCACGAATGGGTCGGCTCCACCGGGGAAGGACCGCGCTCTCACATAATACCAGCGTAAAATAGCAGCTTAGTGCAGCTGTGTTTCGTTTGGTGAGTGTAGAAAACCGGAGACCTTTTTTACTGGAAAAGAGGCATTCCATCTTATTACTCACGGACGGCAACGCATTTGCATTTTATTCCCTAACGAGGATAGATGTAGATGTCTATGGGCCACAGCAACCACTACCATCAGGTGGACTCTGTGCTCGCTTGTCACTCTTATCCTATAAAAAAACATTCTCATCTCCGTGTAGTGGTGGCATAAGAGAATCTACTACCCCATATTATAACGTAAAGGTATGGAGGTCATAAGAGGTTAGGAGGGAAATGGAAAAGGAAATGGGTAGCAGCTTCTTCTTGATCACAACTTAAAATAATATAAAACACCCCATCTGCCGAACCTCTGCCAAATAGTCTGTACTGAATTAATTAACTGTCAGACTGCTTCACCTCTCTTTAAGGACCTTTTTGAAAAAGCCCAAAAATAAGCATGTTGGCAGGCATTTCATGAAAAACTTAAATCCATATTCCAATTTATGTTCAAGCGAGTTTGTGAGGTTTGATGGCGGCATTTTCGAATAGATATTTAGACAGCAGTGCAACGCGTGCAGATGACCCTTTTTACTGGAAACGAGGCATTTCATCTTAGTCCTCATGGGTGACAACGCATTTGCATTTTGATGCGTAATCGAAGTTAGATGTAGATGTCTATGGGCCACAGCAACCACTTACCATCAGGTGGACTGTGTCCTCGCTTGTCACCCTTATCCTATAAAAAAAAAGATGAGGTTGATATTTGTGGAAAATAATTAATAGAGTCAGAACCTACTTCGCGGTTAATGGATTACCATTATGTAAAAATAATAAGCATAGATCCGGTTGAAAAATAAAAATTATGTGTTTTACCTAATTCGTAGATCACTTCATTGCCTCGGTCCATTGCGTACAATATCACCGTCACCACTAATTCAAAGTCACAACACCGGGTAGTGGTGTTGGGATTAGTGGTGAACACCGATACACTTAGAAAGACACACCACTTTCGATAGTACACGTGATACGCCACTAAACGAGGCATCATCAGAAGAAATAGACTCTGTAATGGCTGACCGTTTTGCTGGTCAAACACTTGGTGAAATGGCGATGTGATTTATAAGTATCAGTCATTTTGAGTTATTTAACTGTTTATTTTCATCTTAAACGTAATAATAAAATAATACAACTAATAATTCAGTCTATTCTCCATGTTCAGTTCAAGAGCACATCCACAGGCCTGTAGCTCCCGCATTTTGGTAAAACATCAATCACTGCCTTTGGAATCGATTGAGGGACGTCAATGAGTATAGCTGCAGGTAACGAGAAGAAACTGCAAGACCTACACTCGAGCATCCAACTTCCACCATGATCAGGTTTTAACCTTATAATTGTGTATCCTTTGTTTGGAACGACGATTGTGTCCTTCAGTGGTGGGTTTTGTATGTTTCTGTAAAGCAAAATGTTTTATAACTAAAAAGTAAACAATATTGTTTCTTACTCAATGAAATTCAAAATTGTAATTTGTTACTGAAAAACGTACCTTTTTATTTTCCCATTTTTATCAAGTAATGAGAAATCTCTTTTAGAAATAGGTTTCCCATTTGAAGTTCGTCCAGTAGCGACTACTTGTGCAGAATATCCATGTATATGAAACGTATATGAATCATTACTGCCAAAACCTAAAATTAAAAAAAAAATAGTACAGTTACAGAAGTTACACACTAACTGTTTGGGTTGCTAAATTATTATTTTCACTACTGTAAAAGTAGTGAAAATAAATAATACCAGCCGTATGAGTAGTTTTTGCATCGATCGGTGCATTGAAGAGACTGATCAAGTTATATGAGTCTTACGCCAAGGCCCACTGGCTCAAGTACAACAACACAGAAAAGTGAAACAATAATTTTCAAAGTAGGCAGCAAGTGCTAATCACTACCAAATATCACACTGTAGTACAGTTGTAGTAGTCTGAATAGAGTTGATAAATTTAAGTACTTGGGCCACTGGGTCACTGAAAACCTAACTGATAATACTGATATAGGTCGTTGGCTATCCGATGTAATAATCTGGCTCGCAGTTTTGCACGCTGCACAAAACAGTTTAAAGTTACGGTTTTCGAAGCATATTGTCAGTCCTTCTATACATGCAGCCTGTAGGTGAACTATACACGGACGGCATACAATGATCCGCGCGTCCAATACAATTATGCGTTGAAAATTATAATGGCGTTGCCTCGGCATTGTAGAGCCTCTGGCATGTTTGCAGGGGCTCATGTTGAAGGGTTTGAAGCCAAAAACGTGTCTCCATGCTGAATCGCATGCGTACGCACCAATATCATCCTGAGTGTTTTAGCAGACAGATGGGGTTCACCAATGTTGGGGCGTTGGATAAATCTACATACCGCAAATTAGACACGCCATGACTTGAGACGTAGGTTAATTTTAATTTTATTTAATGTATATATTTAGTAATTTTAATTTTCTTTAATGTTATAAGTACGTATTTAGATTTTTTTAACAAATATGGATTATTGGTCTGAAATAAATGGATTATTATTATTATTATAGTATCTATAAAGTTTTCTCATCTGGTTGGGCAGTATAAATATATAATTGCAAATAAAAATAAATAAAAATGAAAAATAAAAATTACATAAATATATAAAAACCCAACCAGATGGAAGCCCTCGGCAGGGGAGACCAAACGACCGAGGGTTAGGGGGAAAGGGAAAGAAATCGGCAGTATCGAGGAGCACCGCCTTCTACATTTGAACTTGGAGCGGTCCGTCACTGAGTCCCAGTCGCCTCAGATGACCCGAGAGGCTGACTGGGATTAACCCGTTCGCAGAAACGACCACAGGAATAATTTCGGTCGGCAGACCACCCCACATATCGGTCACCTCGTGAGCCAGGTCCAGATATTTTATCAGCTTATCTGTTTCGGCTTTCACGAGGTTCTCGTCATAAGGAATGGTAATTTCGACCAAAAATATCCTTGACTGTGCCCGGTCCATAAGCACGATATCAGGCGTATTCGCAAGAATAGTCCTGCCATTGATGATGGCCCAGTCCTAGTAGAGCACACCTATTATAAGTTAATTGTACTATGCCTATAACTTTCGGGCAAATGCAAGCAATAAGTTGACAAAGTTTTACAGCAATCTGATCAACGGTATGGCTACACATGAAATACGGACAAACTAACAATAGTTTTTGTACATTCTTTAGCGATCGATAGTGAAATACAGCTTTTTTAATATACAAACCTAAAAATTTTATGAATTACGGTTGAATTTAGACTCCTAGGCGACCCCTGTTTAATTTAATCTTTATTCAACATACACAGAAATTAAAAGGCCCAGATTAGACAAATTGGTCTCCTTTTAACTAATTTTAAAACTAACTGGTGAGCGCGGTGAAAATTTTCCGAGCAATGCATGCTGGCACAGTCTTTAAAAACTTAAAAAGGCTATTTAATGTGGAGTGATAATCCAAGCTATAAGTTTCTAGGAAGTCAAAAGTGTGTTATCAAATACCTTCATTGACTAAAGCCAGCTCCACGACTTGTTTGTCAAGTATTTTCAAAACCTGTAAACACTGGAGCTGTTTATGATTTGCTTCCTCGCCAACATTACATGCCGAATCTGGATTCACATTTTGAGGTTTGAGTAAGTACAACCCATTCGGATAGAGGAAATTTTTATTATTTATTTGTACCACCCCATTGTCGTGCAATGCTGAAACATACAAAATAAAATTATTATTTGCTTATTAATATTTTAAATCGTCATCAATAATCACATTGTTAATTTTATAAAAAGATGAATCACCGTAATTGGTGCTTTTATAACGGCATGCTCTGCAACATAAGTGGCACACTACAGCGTACAGAATAGTTCTAATTAACGATGTTGATACAACAAATAGATAGCTTCTTCATTTTAGACAGTATTACCCACTGCGCTGCGCTGCGCAATTGCGTTAACTCAGTTCACTGCGCTAATGTGATAACTCACGTCATCAAAATGTCTTGGCGCACAACGCAGGACCGGGAAATTCGAAAGGTGTTAAGATGTTGTTGTTTTATATTTTTTTTATATAGAATTAAGGTGACAAACGAGCACACAGTCCACCTGATGGTAAGTGGTTGCTGTGGCCCATAGATGCGTTGTCAGCCGTGAGGACTAAGATAGAATGCCTCTTTGTATACTCACCATACGAAACACAGCAGCATCAAGGTGCTATTTTACGCTGGTATTCTGTGAGAGCGTGGTACTTCCCCGGTCGAACCGACCCATTCGCGCTACACCTATACTATTGCTCATGCGTTAACGCAAGGAGCGCATGTCTATTTCATTTAACATAGCCTGCGAAATCTTCTTAGCATATTTCTTATCTAATCTTACAGTTCTCACGATACATGTGGACTTAGGGACTTAGTGATCCCCCAAAATATTTAAACATAACAATACATATGTAAGGTGTAAGGAGTTTACTATTATAATTGCCACTACTAAGTGATAGGATTCCTTGTCTAACTTGAAGTCCGTCTGAGTAAGTATTGCCTATATTATATAAGTAATATCACCACCAAGCAGTGGCTGCAAGCAATTCATCTTAGTTCTCAACGGGACGGCGCATCCGAAGCCTTGTTTTCTTAAAAATGAGCTGCAGTAACCACTTACCACCAGGTGGACTGCTAGTTGGCTTGTCACTAAAATTTTATTTAAAATAAAACTCAACGAGACTAATTAGCAGTGGGCATTCTCCAGTAATGATTATTTATTCTTATATAGACGACAAGAATAAAGCATATTAATCAAATATTATATCTCTCTCTCGACTCTCGACTGCCTCGTTAGGCTAGTGGTTCTAACCGCGATTTCTGATCATAAGGTCCCGGGTTCGTATCCCGGATCAGGTTAACATCAGTTATTGGGGTTTTAAGTCAAAAAATTCTCAGTTGCAACCCGGAGTCAGGAAATTGGCGGCGTTAACCCCGTGCCTCTGAAAGCACATAAAAATGTTAACTCTGCGCCTGATCTCTCTCCGGTCGCGTCGCTTTACCGTCCCATCGGACTGTGAGTGCGAGGGAATAGAGAGTGCCCCTGTGTTCGCGCAGGTCTGGAGGAAATTATCAAATCAAATCAAATCTCAAATGCACACTTTTAACTAAAATGCTATTAAAGGTGGGTTGACAATTAAACCAAGACATTTCCGACGTAACACTTATGTGATAAATCGAAGGTAGGCTATGATGCACTGTCAGAAATTTTGTATGGTATGAGGTCCCATGTTCTTTGCAAGTGTTCGTAAAGTTGTTGTTCCGTCGTCATATTTGGCGGGAAATCTCTCAAAGCTCTTCTATGTAACTAATGTCCCAGGCATGCTTGATATGATTTAAGTCGGGATAAACTTGAATATCGTGTTCTCGGAGAGCGGCTGACACCAGCTGCGCTGTATGGGAAGGAGCATTATCGTGCATGAGTAGAAATTCCTGGCCCATTTGGATTCTGTGCGGGGCAATAACAGGCTTTACTACCTCCTCGTGGTATTTTGTGCAGTCACGTTGCCTTGGATCCAAACGACCTGGTTTTGTCTGCCAAGACGAATTCCTGCCCATACCATGACTGTTCCGCCTTGGTATAAGTGGACCTCCAGAGGGTGCCGTATACGGCTAACTCTCCCTAGAGTTCCCCAAACGCGTATTCTTTGTGAATCCGGATGGAATCCCAACCGGGACTTATCGGTGAACAGCACCCCAAGACCATTGTTCGTCACTCCGTGGTAAATGCTCCCGAGCCCACGAAAGCCACCGACCGCGATTGCCACGTCGCAATGCTGGAACACGTAGCTGTCTTCGAGCATGTAGAACAACTTTGTGCAACCTCCTTCGCACGGTTTGGTCGCTTACCAGCAGTTTACTAGGTAGTCCTCCTGGAGCCTTTGTAGTAGTTGCATCGCTGTGATATTGGGTTGTCTTCTGGCGGTCATTTGGAGAAATCAATCCTGTCTGCGTAGTAACACGATATCTAACCGTGTGCCGTTCAGCCACATCTCCAGTACTGTGATAACGTGACCACAACCTTGATATCACGTTTTGGCTGGTGTGTAGCGCCTCCGCAACGACGCGTTGAATAGCACCATTTTCTAACATGCTCACGTTCATCTCGACTCAAATGACGACGTGACATGGCTCTTAAAGTTCACACGGCACGTTAAATTAAAAAAAGAAAAACAATCTAATCCCTTTTCATTAATTAATATCAGTAGAACAATTTTATTTTCCTTGACGTAACGAATTATTAACAATTTTGCTTTTCCTTTGTTTTTTTTAATTAATTTATTTATTTATTTAAAACTTCATATACACATGTGGTATATAGGCGGACTTAATGCCTAAGGCATTCTCTACCAGTCTACCTTGGGATGATGCAGAGATATAAAGTAGGTGTAATAAAAAGGTAATATGTTAATACTAAACTAAAATAACAAAAAAAATTGTAGCACATCGAAATAAAATACATAAGATATAACTGGTAATAAAAAATATAATATATATATATATATATATATATATATATATATATATATATATATATATATATATATATATATACATTTTTTTTTAAATAGAATAATAGACGTTTCAATCTGTATATAAACTTTTTATGGAAACTAAAAAAATTATAAACTATAAAGTCGTAAATAATTCAGTCTTAGGCTAAGCGTCCACTAGACTCGCCGAGCCGAGTCGAATCGAATCGCAGGAAGTCATTTATATTTACTAAGAAAATGCGTCCATTAGCGACGAGTCGCAGCGCGTCGAATTGAATCGACCGCGCGAATTGCTTGACAAGCGAATTTCTTCGCCGGTGCGATTCGATTCAACTCGGCGCGCCTCAGTCGACGCGGACAAGCGGATGCGCGCCAACGTATTTTTATTAATTTCTATTTAGTTTTCGTAAAAATCTTTTTAAAATGAATGAAGAACTATTGATATCACTGGTCCAACAATATCCAGAATTGTTTAACCATGAAGATCCATATTATCACGATGACCAGCGTCGGATGAACATATGGGAAGAAATTGGGAGAATTATGAATGAAACTCGTGAGTTTTGTTTTATTATTAGTGAACATATTTATTTATTATAATAGATAATAGATATATAGTACGTGACGGTAATATGGTGGCTTACGATAGCTCTTCATCAGTCAATCACATAATAAAGGGTCAAAAGGGCGCGAAAAAATTACAGTTGAGAATATAGAAAAAATATTAGTTGATTTTAGTATTGTGTAGTGTAGTTAGTTTTATATATATATATATATATATATTACAAACTGTGATGCTGGAATCCTCTCACAATATTTGTTTGCTGTGGAACTGAGCCTGCATTAGATAAAAAATATGTTTTGAATTTTTCTCGAATTTCGAATGCGGCTTGAGACGCATTACCCCCGAGTTGAGGTAAATCTACTAAACCGTGATTCACATTTTCTCTCAAATCTTCTTCTGACCAATAAGTCTCGCTATTTCTCAAGAAGTTACGTAAAGCAATTGTTGCTACTACTACAATGTCTACATGTTCAGGAGTCAAGGACAATCGTCTTTGATATATTCTAAGCCTTCTTGCCAGTATACCAAAAGCATTTTCGCTGACATGACGAGCTCTACTTAGACGATAATTAAAAAATTTCTTTTTTTCATTATTTATAGTTTGGTTGCCAGGATATGGCCTCATTAAAAATCTTCGCAAAGGGAAAGCCGCATCCGCTACAATTACAACATAGGGCATATATTCTTCTGTGCCTGGTAAGCATGTATCTCTAGGAACATTTAGTTTGTTATGTGTCAGCGATTTCCACATAACAGAGTTTAAAAATATGCACCCATCGGAATTCTTACCGAGACCACCCATATCCAAAAGCGTAAATTTGTATTACTACTAAAGCCAACAAAAGAATAGAAAATGTTTTTTTTTTTATAGCAATAGTACTTGGAACCACTATTGTGTGGACATTCGATTACCACATGCTTTCCATCCAACCCACCAATACAATTTGGGAAATTCCATTTTTGCCAAAAAGCTATCGCAATAATTTCTTTCCATTCTCGTTCCGTGGGTGGTGTTGGGTTGCATTTTGTTCCATATTGTCGTGCAAGTTTCATAAACAATCATTCTTACAGTTTTTTCTCCCATTCTAAAACTGAAAGCCAACGATAGAAATTTCCAGTGGCCAAATATCTGAAACAAAATTGGTATATTTATGAATATACGTACTTTTTGAAGATTTTAGCACACGTTAGAGAATTAAATTTTAGGAAATAAATATTACAAATATATACTTTTTTTTTTCAGCAACAACATGTAAGGAGAAGTGGAAAAAGATTCGAGAAAACTTCAGGAAGGCAATAAATCTAAGAAAAACTAAATGTGGTCAAGGTGCGAAAAACTTCAAGCCTATACGCTATGGCAAGGAGCTGAGTTTTCTAACCCCATATATTCAAAATGAATCCAAATCTCTAACAAACTTGCCCCCTATATCGAGTGATGAAGAACAAAGTAACATAACATCACCGCCCCCAACACCTGGATCAACCATATCAGCCAACAGTAGCACACAAAAAAAGAAAATACAAGAGGCATCTACAAATTCACAGTCATTATTTCAATCATACTTGGAAAAATATTATTCTCATGACCGGCAAGAGAAAGATCCTACTGTAGAGTTTTTTACAAACATGGGCCAAACTGTTAAGACCTTTCCACCACATTTGCGAGTGCGTGTAAAGAGAGCAGTTTTTAGTATTGTCAGTGAAGCCGAAGAAGAGATGATTACCAGAGATGCTCCATGAACAATACCAAATACATCACTGTATCAATACACGAGTGGGTAACCAGCACCTGTAATGATTAGAGCCACTTCTCAACTCCCATCTACATACGTCTCGCAAAATAATGTGCCAACTCGTCTAATTAATTCGCAAGATGTAACTAGTGTACCTATTGTTTTATCCACATCACAAATCTCTATGCCACAATCTGATTCGTATGCAATTCGAGGAATTAATTACTTTATCCAGAAAATAAGTATAATTACATAGGTGGAACTTATATATGTTATAAAGTAGGTGTAAGTTATAAGTTCATAACGATTATGCCAAAATGCCTTAAGTTCCTATTAATATCCCAAATATAATGTAAAACGTTAATTAATATATTAAAAAAAATTGGAATAAATATGATTATTACTGATCTTAAAAGTATTTTTTTCTTATTATATTTCTATGTAAAAAACAATAACGATAGCCTAATGGTGAAGACCTGCCATCTTCCCCACTTTTCCTGAGAGAAGGCCCTTGCCTAACAGTTGGACAGTAAAGGGCCGAATAAGATAAGATTGTCCATGACGTTAAAAGTTGTAGAACATAACAATATAAATTTAAATACTTACCTAAGGCAAACAGCGAGTCGTTCTTCCAGTGGAATGGGCCTCCTGAATCTTGTAGTTTCTTTACACAATCCTAAGTAAGTCTAGCAAAACTTGAAAATTTTCATAGGATAAACGAAAATATTGAAAAAATTTTACAGGATCCCTTTTCAAATCTGTATATAAATGACGAAATTCACCGTAGTTATTTCTTTTCAAATAAATGTCGTGTATCCAGTATTTGGGAGCACGCCGTTTCCTTTTTCTTTTCTCCTCTTCTTCATCAAAAAGTGTTTGGAATAAAAACATTTCTTCATCTGAGCTGTCCATGACGCAAATACGACCTATTTTGATGAAGAATTTGCAATGAATGAACAATTCGATCCAGAGATGGACGCACTAGGAATAAATGCGACTCGCTTCGATTTGACGCATTTCTGCTGTAGTCGACGCCAGGCTTTAAAGTATCCCTAGATTAGTTGATGTGTGTATTTAATGTGACATGCGTATTGGTAGTTACCGTGAATGACGAAGATTGCGCATAGTGTAAGGTACTAGGATATGTAATATTTAACTGCCATTGGCTGATGATGGTGGGAATAAATGTTACATAAGCAATATTACAATGTATTACTTACATACTGCAGCGGGGTAAAAGGTTTTCTTAGGCACGCCATCGCTGATATATCGGTAATCGTTATCATTATCTTCAAATGGAATAACATATCTGTCAACTCCTAAATATATTGTTTTAACGTCTTTGTTATAATATGTTTGGTCCTGAAGAGATAACAGATGTTGGCCTTGTATGATCGTTTCACTGTTTAAAAGTTCACTGGTCAGCGTCTGTAATTATACAAAATAATACATTGGACTTTGACAAAACAAAATTTACACCAATAGAAATAGAAACCTTTTATTCAATATAAATCACTGTCCTCGAAAGAATCAGTAAGAAATCCGGCGGGACTATGTTTTGAAAAAAAAAGTACAGCTTACAATCATTAAAGTAACAAAATAATTAATTACACAAAATTAAACTTTATTGTTATCATATAAAGAAGGTAACTGAGGGTAAGGTAAGGTAATAAAATACGCGTAAACCATATTGCCTAACGACTTCCCTGCAAGTCAATCCATGGTGTGATGGAAAAAAATACTGTGGCAGGTGCAATTAAATACATTCTTACTGTGAAACACATATAATTTACGAAATCTATACATAATAATATATAAACATAAACATGTAAAATATGTATTATACATATGTAAAAATACATAAATAAGTACACGTTATATATAATTATATAATACATATTTTATTAAAATCGCAAATAATAAAAAATCTAAACATATCATCATTATTCGTATCGTCCAACATTACTTTGTTTTAAGATGTTTCATGTCCAAAAATCCAAAACACGTAATAAAGCAATAAAAGTATCTATAATATTATGAATAAAGTAGAAAAATATAAGATAAGTCTTAAAAGCTAGCAAGAACTTTTAAAGTCGAAGTTAAACCTTATTTTATTCAATTAAAACTTGTTTAAAGCTCTTAAAGAGGTCAAAAGCGACACCGGTTCGCAAAACAAGACCTCAGAGAAGACCCGAGCAAGAAATTCTGGGGAATGTTTAATGTCTCGTTAAAATGTCATTTACAATTCTTAAAACCAATACAATGTCAAGCATAATATAATCAGTTATTGTTCAAAATAAATGCTGTGTAAATGCCGAGTGGAAATATGACTCATTATTGTTTAATATTTTGATTAACTTTATAGTAGGTATTTTTAACATAGTTTCCATAACTACGTTAGAAACTATAACGCTGAATGAATTTAGCAATGCATTTCTGCAGCAAATGAATTTCTCTGCAATTCAATGCATAACCCTAAAACATACTAATGGTTAATTTTCGTAAAGATCCGTTAAATTAAAAATGTAAAGTACAGCTTATATTCTTACAGCAGCTGTGCGCACCCCTCCTCCCATTTCTGAGAGGGTAATAAAGCAGTCAACCTGCCCCGAAGCTCCTATGAGTGTTGTAATACTTCACATGTCCTTGAAATATTTTATTGTACAAACAATATTTTTCCCACGATATTTCCCTGTGCCGCTGAGCATGCAGTATATCAGTCCTTGAAAGTGCTACCAGTGCCAGACAAGATAAAGATCAATTACCTAAACATAAACTGATCATTGACCAAAAGAAATAATTTCTACATAAAGCACCCGCCAATAAACGAATACAGTTTCTCTTAGAACATTCAGCGTTAAATTATTTACCATATGATAACTTCATTTATATAGCGTTTATTTTAAATATATATAATAGCTTTTTGGTAAAATTTCCATCAAAAACAAATTATTTAGTCTACACTTGTTCTTGTAAATATGGCCTAATACCTTATGTATTCCGATAGCTATTGATTTAACTATCTCTTTCATTACATCGTTGTTTTGAGTATTTTACGCTATAGGCGTAAAAGTTTGTTTTATGAACGCGTATCCACCAAAAATGTAGACAACAGTTATGTTTCCAACTGTTTCCAACAAGCATCTCCACCGAGGGAACAAATGTTGGCAACAAGCGTATTCCTTTGATGTTGCTGCCGAAAATGGAAACAAGTTTTGTTGGCAACTGTTGTGTTGGCAACAAAACTTTGGTGGAGACGCAGCTTTTGGCGTAAAGTACAAAGATCGACGATAGGAAGCAGCGACAAATGCGAGACATCTGGAACGGCGATCATTAAACCGACTGCCAAACTTGACTAATATAGCAAAGCCCCTTTGCAATGAAACAGAGAGAGACCCATGTCTTTTGTGGGTTGATAAGGAGATGCTCCAAGATGGAATGCTTTGTTATCAATAATTGGGCCATTATACAGGGGATGCAGTGTTACTTGGTGGATAGGACCATCAAGAATTAAACATATTGTCATTATGTATTTGTCTTACCGGGCCTTGATGCAACAAAGATGTGTAATTGAACCCGGAGTACAGGAACATTCCATGGGCGATCAAGCCTTCACAAATGCCCAGACCGTAAACGTTAACCCAGTATCCACCATTTTTGCGTGCTGCATTCACAACTACATCCATACGCTCCCCTGAAATCAGATAATGTGGGACATATTACAAGTTATTTATACAATCTATTTCACCGAGCTTTTATTCTTAAACATTGAAGATCTCTAGATCTATTCGTATACTGAATTATAATAAACAATCTCTTCCTGCGAGCAGGGGTTCCTAAACTTTTAAGATAACGGAACACCTTTTTAATTACGTGGTAGAGCCACGCAGCAGCTATATTAGTAGTATAGTTGTAGCACGAATGGGTCGGCTCGACCGGGGAAGGACCACGCTCTCACAGAATACCAGCGTAAAATAGCAGCTTAACGCTGCTGTGTTTCGTATGGTGAGTGTAGAGAACCGGAGGCCCTTTTTACTGGAAAATAGGCATTACATCTTAGTCCTCAGGGGTGACAACGCATCTGCATTTTGAATCGTAATCGAGAATAGATGTAGATGTCTATGGGTCACAGTAACCACTTACCATCAGGTGGACTGTGTGCTCGTTTGTCACCCTATTCTATAAAGAAAAAATCTACCAAATACCTTTTATTTTATGGAACCCCAAATCGAATGATTACAAGTCGAAGATATTGTAGTTTAAATAAGAACAAACACTTTTATTAGAAATAATTTAAAATTAAAACACTTTATTTTTTACTTTAACTTTTAATGTGCAGTATAAAATTGTTTCACTGTTTTGTCAACAATTGTTTTATAGTTTGGTTTTATGTCTGACAGTAGCATGCGCAATAAAAAAAATTCGTGGAACCCTGGTGACTTTTCTACGAAACTCCTAAGTTCCGCGGAACCCACTTTAGTATTCGCTGATCTAGAGATTTTTAAAAGATTACCTACCGCTTCAATTTATAACAGTCATTAAATCTATATTGGAGGCCTAATTACGTAATTTGATACGTAATTATTTTTGTAACGTCTACTCAATATAAATATCGTCATCATTATCAGCCCGTAAGTCCGCAGCTGGACATGGGCTTCATTACTGTAAATAGAATTTGTCACACTGGTAGGTTGATTGTCAAACAATACCCGAGAAAATCATTTGTAAGGCATTCAAACAATTGATCTGTGCGGGTTTGGAACCCTTACCACCATGGCGCCGTATCTAAATGCTTAGCCACTGCGAATACTGCTGCTAAGCAAAGGCTAATGCTTTTAAGTCAGTGAAGAAACTAGGCAAGAGTGATTAGTGACCCACGTTTGATTTATATTCAACTCTAGCAGTTTAATCGTTTCGCTTCATTGTGAATAAATCAGTTTTCAGTCTTTCCATCAAATCGCAAAGAGAGTGTCTAAAATAATGAATAGGCTTTTACCTGCACCATTACTTACAATCAGTTGAATTTATTGTCTAGCTTTACCTTATTATAAATTTAAATATATTAAAGCGAAATTAACAATTGAACATCGTAAAATCTATACTTGGTTAAAATCCTTGTCCTGCGTGAAAAGGTTAAGAAGAAAAACAATGAGCAATTTAGAGGAAAACAAAACCTATATGAGGCATGCAACAAAAAAAAACTGTTGTAAATGAATAAGAAGCATCCTTAGTAACTTCAAAAAAAAGTAAAAATCTGATGAATTACTAAGCTTCATCGGAGTTGGCATTTTTTTAAATTAATCAAAACAAGAATTTGTTGTAAATTTTGAGACAATTTTTTAAACATCACAATCAAGATTTAATAAGTACCATAAATGAGCAATATGTTGTCTTTAATAACAATAACTTTGGTTATCAACGGTGGTAGAGCCTTGCAGCAGCTTTTGCTGTTGCACGTATGGGCCGGCTCGAGCCGGGTTAGTACCACGACCTCACAGAATACCGACGTGAAGTGGAAGCTCTGCTTCCGCGTTTCGTCTGGTGAGTGCAGGTGACCGGATGCCCAATTCCCCCCCCCCCCATCAACATGGTAGCGGAATTACGTCATAAACTACCCCAGGAGGGTACCAGTACCCCTGGAGAATCCCTCGCTGAGCATCCACGACCATGCTATTCCACTCCTGAGCGTGGGTGCTCAGGCTGCCCCGCGTATTCTGGGGGGGGGGGGGGCAAAATTCCGCTCAACACAATAACTGCTCGGGGCAAACTGAGCAACAAGACCAAGGCGACCCCTGCCACGCTATCCGTGAATTTCTGCAACATCAGGGGACTTCACTCGAACCTAAACGCCGTCCACTACCATCTTGAGACGGCGAAGCCGGCCTTGCTCTTTCTGACCGAGACGCAGGTGTCCTCTCCGGCTGATACTTCGTATCTCTCCTACCCGGGGTACAAATTGGAGCACTCCTTTGTGCCTCGGGCTGGAGTTTGCATGTATGTCAGAGAGGACATCTGTTCTCGACGCCTCGGCAGTCTTGAAGGTTCGGACCTGTCCATCCTTTGGCTACGCGTAGACAGCGACGACCATCCGCGCGTCTACGTGTGCCTCTATAGGTCCCATAGCGTTAATGCCGAAACAGACCGACTCATCGACCACGTCCAAATGGCTACAGATTCCTTGCTACAACAGGTCCCATCCGCAGAGATCGTGATCCTTGGCGATTTTAACGCCCACCATGCCGAATGGCTCGGTTCACGTTTAACCGATCATGCGGGGAGATCTGTTTATGACTTTGCCTTGGCATATGGTCTGACACAACTGGTTACATCGCCTACGCGGATTCCAGATGTTGAGGATCATACACCTTCCCTGTTGGACCTTCTGCTGACCTCTCATCCGGACGGATATCAGGTTTCCGTCGATGCCCCTCTTGGCTCTTCGGACCATTGTCTGATCCGGAGTGTGGTGCCACTCACGCTCCCCTCGCGGTTGCGTTCTGCAGGTTGCCGCCGTGTTTGGCATTACAGGTCGGCGGATTGGGACGGAATGCGGTCTTTCTTTGCTTCCTACCCATGGGGGCGGGTTTGCTTCTCGCCGGATGATCCCAGCGCTGTTGCTGACTCTGTCACTGATGTAGTGCTACAGGGAATGGAACTATTTATTCCATCATCTGTGGTACCCATCGGAGGCAGATCTCAGCCTTGGTTTGGTCGCTCCTGTAAGACTGCATTACGCAGTAAGCAGGAGTGTTATCAAGCCTGGGCTGCGGCTTCAGTGACTCGGGATGTAAACACCAGCACACTCAAAAAGAAGTACAACTTCGCCTCCAGGTCCTTCAAAAGAGTTATTGCCAAGGCAAAGTCAGAGCACATAGGCAGAATTGGCGAGAAACTAGTTCGCCTTCCTTCGGGAACCCGTGCATTCTGGTCTCTCGCCAAGGCTGTCCAAGGGAATTTCTGTAAGCCATCACTACCATCTCTGCACAGGGAGGACGACTCACTGGCCCACGACGCAAAAGAGAAGGCCGACCTTTTAGGCTCCCTTTTTGCGTCCAACTCGACTGTTAATGACGGGGGGAACACACCGCCGACCATCCCGCGGTGTTAGTGCTCCATGCCGGATGTGCGATTCTCACAGCGCTCGGTTCGCAGAGCACTCCTCTCCCTTGACATCCACAAGTCGAGTGGGCCTGACGGAATCCCCCCTATTGTGCTGAGGACGTGTGCTCCGGAATTGGCACCGGTTCTAACGCGTCTTTTCCGGTACTCCTACTCCCTAGGCGTAGTCCCGAAATCATGGAAGACAGCTTTTGTCCACCCGATCCCTAAAAAAGGCGACCGCTCAGATCCGTCCAACTACAGGCCTATCGCCATCACCCCCTTGTTCTCCAAAATAATGGAATCCGTTGTAAACTGCCACCTCATGCGGTACCTTGAGGATCACCAGCTGATTAGTGACCGCCAGTACGGTTTTCGTCGGGGTCGATCAGCTGGTGATCTTCTGGTCTACTTAACTCATAGATGGGCGTTGGCAGTAGAGTCCAAGGGGGAGGCATTGGCCGTTAGTTTGGACATTGCGAAGGCCTTCGATCGGGTTTGGCACAAAGCGCTTCTTTCGAAGCTCCCTTCCTATGGGCTTTCCGAGAAATTATGCAATTGGATCACCAGCTTTCTTGCAGATCGGAGCATCAAGGTCGTTGTAGACGGTGCATGCTCCGACTACAAGCCTATTAACGCTGGTGTTCCACAAGGCTGCGTGCTATCACCAACGCTGTTTCTTCTGCATATCAATGATATGTTGCAAGCTGGTAGCAATCATTGCTATGCAGATGACAGCACTGGTGATGCTCTATACACCGGCCGTGCCAATATTTCTCGGGAAAACGTCACCGAGTACCGGAACAAACTTGTGTCTGAAGTCGAGTCTTTGCTGGACAAAGTCTCGGATTAGGGGCGACTAAATCTAGTCCAGTTTAATCCTCAGAAGACACAAGTTTGCGCGTTTACCGCTAAAAAGAACCCCTTTGTCGTATCTCCTCAGTTTCAAGGTACTCCCCTTGTGGCCTCAGCCAGTATCGGAATCCTCGGCGTCGACATATCGAGTAGCGTGCAGTTTCGTGGTCACTTGGAAGAGAAGGCCAAATTGGCCTCTAAAAAGCTTGGCGTGCTCAGCTGAGCGGGACAGTATTTCATGCCGGCTCAACGCCTGCAACTTTACAAGGCGCAGGTTCGGCCTCACATGGAATACTGTTCCCATCTCTGGGCTGGGGCTCCCCAGTGCCAGCTTCTTCCACTTGACCGCATCCAGCGCAGAGCGGCTCGAATCGTCGACGACCGAGTCCTTTCCGATCGGCTCGACTCATTGGCACTGCGAAGAGATGTTGCATCTCTTAGCATTTTCTTTCGCATTTACCATGGGGAGTGCTCTGAGGAATTGTTCGGATTAATCCCAGCCGCCAAATTTCACGAACGCACATCGCGGCAGAACTCCCGATACCATCCACACCATCTGGATGATTGGCGGTCCACCACTGTGCGATTTAGAAGATGTTTTCTTCCTCGCACAACTTCCTTGTGGAATAGTTTACCACCAGCGATTTTTCCGGACCGATACGACTTAGGCACCTTCAAGAAAAGAGCCTACTCCTTTTTAAAAGGCCGGCAACGCATCTGCAATTCCCCTGGTGTTGCGGT